CTCTATTTATGCCTTAATTACCATGTTACTCTATTAACTTCGTATCTTGGTGCACAAGATTCTTGCTACCCTGAATTGCTCGAGAGTACATCTTGTTACTTAAGGGTTGCCCGAGATTCCCCTTATCCGATTACTGTGTTCACAGTATTGTGTTCTTGAGGTCCCTCGGCGTATATTTAGCCGAGCTGTGTTTTGTCGTTTAACTAAGATCTTCAGGTCTCATCACTAGAGCTCTTATGTGATTGACTTGTGCTTTAACCAAGCTGGTTAGCGCGACTTAGCATAGGTCAACAAACTTAGGTCAGCAACACCCGACCTGAATCGCTTCCTATTGGTGTTTCGGTTATCTCTGAGCTAATAGAACCGACTAGTTTGAGATAGTTGTCTCTGTAGCTATGGCTATATCAATACACTTTGAATTAGGTGTGAAATTAATTTTCGTCAGCACTATTTAACAACGAAATTAAGTTGAAGAGATCAAGAAAATAATCGAGGGAGAGATGGTCGGCGGCGGTGAAAGAGGTAACATGCCTAACGGACGCGGTGGAGGAAAAGAAGGTGATTGGGAGAGATTCGTCCAACAACTCTCTCTCTCTCTCTAAAGTGTAAGAAAAATCTAATTATGCCCAAATTAGCAGCCTTCAACTTTTTTTGGCCTTAATTCCACTAACCCGTGGCCCTAACCAGGGACGGATCCAGAAATTTATTTCGAGGGGGGTTATATATTTTCTAGTGCAATATATATTAGATTCAATTTAATGTACATAAAAATTTGTATTATATATATATATTAATATAGTGCAATATACTTTATAAAGTTTCAAACATTAACAGTAACAAATTTAGATTGAACGTTCTCTCAACTCATGAATTTCATTAATGATTGACTCATTACTAATAGTTTTTATTTTATTTTTTTTTCCATTAAGCATATCTTATATGGTCTTCTTTTTACAAAAATTACCAATTTATTTGTTTTCACATATTTACCATACATTCAATTTATTTAAATGAAAAAAAAAGATTATACAAAAATGTAAAAAAAGTATAATTGTAGTTGAATTATTAGTATCAAAAGTAATATATTTATTATTTTAATAAATTGTGTAAATTTATGTGAAAAATAAAATATATATATATATATATATATATAAGTTACTACAAATCTTGGGGGGGTGGGGCTATTCATACATATAGATCCGTCTCTGGCCCTAACAACATTGATAATGATATTAGACCCAAATATGATATGAAATCGGGCTGGTATGGGGCTAATATGGGGCACTCCCATACCATGTAGATTGAAACTTTCGTTTAATGTCTCAGCTTCCATGAAAGCACTCAAATATTGTGGAAAAAAAAAATCATAAAAATATCATAACACTTAAAATAAGTTTGAGATATAAATAAGTAGAAAAATATATAAGTAAGATAAAATTATGCATATAAAAATACGCTAATAAATCTCTCTCTCTCCATTCAAGTGTAAGAAAAATCTAATTATGCCCAAATTAGAAGTCCTAAATTCTTTTTTGCCTTAATTCCATTAACTCGTGGCCCAATTAATCTAACAACATTGATAATGATATTAGACCCAAATATGATATGAAATCGGGCTGGTATTGGGCTAATATGGGGCACTCCAATACTCTGCAGATTGGAACTTTCGTTTAATGTCTCGCCGTCCATGAAAGCACTCAAATATTGTAAAAAAAAAAACGATAAATATCATAACACTTAAAATAAGTTTGAAATATAAATAAGTAGGAAAACCTAAAAATACGCTAATAAATATATAAAACTTGCAAATTTTTAAACCTATCAATAAAACTATTGTAACGCCCTGAACATTTTTAGTAATTATGAGTGTTGTAACAAATTGTGTTTAAATTACCGAGTACCGAATCGAATGATCCTTTCCCCTGGTCGATCTCTCAAGGAAGGCTGTTCGAAATCTAGAATTGGTGTCGATCACACATGAAAGCAAAATAAATCCAAAATACTCTAATCATGGTTGAAGGTTTGAACTATCAGCTAAGAAATAACATAAAGTGCAAAATTAAAAATCAACTCAAAAACAAGAATCAACAACGATAAAGAAGCTAGGGAGTCAGGAATAATTTATTATGGTTTTAATCGCAAAACCGGGCAAACAATTGTTCTGTTCAAGATTGACACTCTCGCTTACTCACCTAGCGGTTCGCTCCCAATAACTTTTTGTAACAAGGGATTGAACACAGATGAACAAGTTCAAGCATACGCACCGGCCTAGGGGTCCGATCCCAGTAACTCTCATAATAAGGGAACAGACATAGACGAGCATGTATTTCAATTCAAAAACCTATAGACGATTCTTTTACGAAATCATCTATCTCATGCTAGCCTAGGTCTACAACTTCTCCCCTTTCGGTTCTAAAAGCGCTAAATTAAATTAGAAGATGATTAATCGACTAATCATTTAGAATAAAAAATCCTTACTCGAAAGAACAATATTCAATCATTTCCAATTGCAAGATTGAAGTGTCACTCTTCAATTATATTCAACAATCAAGCAAGAATTCAACAATTTTTTTTAAATCAACTTGTACGAGAATGAACGAATCAAAGCCCGACAAATACAAACGAACTAGAACAATTGTCCCCTATCCCTAGCAATCGGATTTAGCTACGCATATTAAATTCAACACAAAGCACCATATCAACACAAATCATCGATTCCATGGATTAAACGAAAAGTAATGCTTACGATTAATATAGAATCCAATGTCGAATCCAAAATCTCCGAAAAAGCGAATCTTAGAGTGTCACTCTGCAAGATCAATCCAAGATGAAGATTCAAGTGTTTGAGGGTTAAAAACTAGAGAAAAACGAGTTTGAGGGTGTTTTCCTGGGGTTGGGAATGAGTCTCAATCGAAAGTCTTCGAAAAAATGAAAAAAATCTAGCTATTATAAGGTCTGGTTGCGCAGGATGCTGCGGCGGGTCGCCCTGGGTAGCTCTTTGTCCGGCCGCGGCGCCTGGGCGCAGGCTGTTATGCGCGACTTTACGGTTTTGGCTCGTTTGAGCTCGTTCAAACTCGGAATTGAGCGCCGTTTTTTCCTACGCGTTGCCACCGAACCCTTCTAGTTAATTGTGCTTGCATGGAAAACTTGTTCAAACTCGCAATCTCAAGAACATCTAAACACGATATCAAATCATATTTTCATTCAATAATTGACTCCCTAATAACAAAGTAGAAGAGCCATTTAAATAAGGCTCCTAACCCTATACCTTAACTTATCCAACAAGACAAGATCTCTTACAATAATATTAAATTCCTCTTTGTTAACCTTATACCATTTAAATAATTGCTGTTTTCTCAGGCTTTTATAAGTTTTCCCTCTTTGTTTACCTAGGGAATCATATGCAATATACTTTTACATAGTTTCCGACTCACATATCCAAATCCACAAATTAATTTACCATATGCAATAATGTTTCGCATATTCTGTTATCGCATATCCAAATCCAACGTCATATATTTTTTTATTATGTGACAATGTTTGTATAGCTTACGACTCACATATCATAACTCATAACGACGTATAATTAACAATTATGTGTAATATATTTGCATATTTAAGAATTGCACATCCAAATCAAAGCTGCATAATTTAGGACTATCCATCAGTTTTGTTGCCAATCCATATCATGAGTTGCATATCTGAAGAAAATGTTTCTCATATTATTCACATAGTTTACGCACCGCATTGATTGTCTGATTTGTACATAAAAAACTTAGATAAATAGTATTAACAAATGGCATATACCTACACTAGTTGTCGATGTATATTTACCGTCATTATTACTACTCATGAATTGTAAGATTTAATTATTAACCTTTCATTTCTCAAAATAAAAACAAATAAATAGCTAGGATTTCATGCAATAAGCAGATCGCGCTTCCATAGCGTGGAGTGGACCGAGGGTGAGGAAGATGCTTGCTATCGAGTGTTTTTCAATAAGTGCCCTGAGAAGGAAGACATACACCGAGGCCTTGTGTTGAATTCCTTGTGGTCAGAAATTGAATGTTCTCTGAATCGCATGCTGAGTTATGCCACAAAGGATGAGAATTCTATTATCTAAGTCCGGTGAAAGATTCAGCGGCCCAGAAATTATTTCAATGTATTTTCAAGTTTTATGTTGATTCCAGGAGTCCGAGTGCGTGGTGATGTAGGCCTTGTTAGTGTTAACCACTTGTACTGGTTATATGGGTGAGGTAAAATAGTTTTTTTTTTTTTTTTTTTTTTTTTTAATGAATTTAATAAGTTTATTTATGCATTTTGCGACGCGATCATAACCCAAAAAAGTTTTAAATTTAATACACAGGAGGAGACCGACACTTAGGCATTTTTTCGTTGGTACGAATTTCCTTGGTATTTTTAGGATATACTGCAAACACTCGACTTTCAATTTTTGACAATACCATTTTGAATGAGATTCGTGTTTTAGTAAAGTGTGTGTTTGCAATTTATTTATTTATGCAAACATAGTTCTTTTATTATTTTATATTGTAGATAATATGATTCGATGTGTCAAACACAAAGATCATATTATCGGTGCCTTGTAAAATATTAATACTGTTCACAACCTAGATGTAGTTGAATTAACCCACAAATACAACTTTAGTATTGTTAAACCGTGCAATACACAGACCTACACTTGGTACATACTTGAGACAAGAACAAATCCATCAAGGCCACAATTAAATACAACACTACAGTCCCATATCAGATCTCATCAGCACAAGCACGAATAGACAAAATGGCTCTTTTCAGCTACATAAGGAGAAACATAATCAGCAACCGTTTCAGAAGTGTTCTTGGCAGGTACAAGTATCTGAGTTTTGCCGAGTCGAATTCTTTCCCCAACAATGCTCGTGTAGAATCTGCCTGGCAAAGCTGGAACAAACACGTCACCTTGCATGCACATGTAATAGTCGATGTATCTTTCCAACTCTCGACTCTTCATGTCCACGAACTTCCCCTTTTCATCCGCTGGCATTATGGCATCCTATAGAGTATCACATCAAAATAAGTGTTGTCAGTCAAATTCAAACGAAACCCAAAAAAAAAAATCAAAACGAAAAGAAAAAAGAATGAAAGATAAATTATAGCATGTGTAAATATGTTTTACCTTGATAAAAGTGTTGGGGAAAATGCTCCTGAGAGCATCGAGGCTGTTGTGCCACCTGATCTGGGTCAAATATATGGTTGTATTGGGATGAAACCCAATCTTCTCGAGAAAAATTCCGATTTCTTGTGCACCAAGGCAACTATCCAGGCAAGAAAGTTGTCCCAACATCTCAACTCGAAAATCCACGACCAAAAACCGGCTGCCCATAGTCATGCTGAGGCTCCGTAAAGTCCCTAACATAGAATCAGCCAGCTTCTGCAGCCAGGGCTGAAGCCTCAGGCTCTCGAACATGGCCAAACACTGGTAAGCATTCGACTGCTGATTCATGGACCAGTTCACCTTAGCAGAGGAGTTGAAGTATGTGACGATTTTCAAGTTCTTCTTGCTGAGATAAACGGGCATAATGTTGGAGGAAATAAATTCCTCTGAGACTTGTTCAGGGACTTGGACAATAGGGAGCCTTTTGTATAACAGCTTGGCTGGCAGAGCTTTTTCGATTGGGACTACTCCACTGAGGCTTGCGAGGAATTTATCAAGGTCATAGACCTCAGTAAAGCTCCTGATATAAATAAAAAATTCATTTATTTATATTCTTATGCTCAGTCATGATAACAATGACTGTAACAACAAAGCACAATTGTTTATCCATGTGTCAGTAATCAATTTAGACAAGGGTTAATTGCAATTAAAAACACAACCTTTAGTAAAATTGCAAATTAAACTCCACCTTTTCAATTTAGCATAAAAATACCTAACCTTTCAAAAATTTTGCAATTGTGTCTCAAAGGAAGATTCCGGTCAATTGGTGCTGAGGTGGCATACTGGAAATATGACATGGCTACAAAATTATTGACGTGGCAAATGAAAAGGTAAAAAAAGGCCAAAACTTTAGCACTGTGTATAAGCTCCGAGTAATGGTCGTATATTTTCTTTCTTGGTCTAAAACCATTAGAAAATCTAAATTCCACCATCTTATCCTCCCAATAAAATCTGTCTTTTTTATTCTTTGTTGGTCTTTTCCATATTTTAGGGAAAATTATGGGTGCAGCTACAGTTGATGAACACATTTACAGATGTGCGTTTGTATAGAGCCGTAAAGATTCGATTTTTCAGCTGCCCTTTCATTTTCTTGATGAGCATGTAAATGGGTTCGCTTGAAAGTGTGCCGTCGCTGAAAAGGGACCACAAATTGCTGCGTTCTTCTTCGTCCTTTAGGAACAACAACAGTAGTTTCAACAGCAGCAGGAGCAGATCAAGATTTGCCAGACTTGTGCTTTGCAAGAAGATTGACTACCTGCTGTTGATTTGTGGAGTGGCCGTGTTTTTCTTCTATGTTTTCCTCTTCCAGAGATTGCACCTGCCTGGCTCCGTGACGGAGGATGGAGATAACTCTGGAAAATTCAAAGGAACCCATGACTTCATATCGGGGGATGATGAGGAGAATCTTGCGAACTTGACATTCTTAAAAGAGTTGGACTTTGGTCAGGATTTGAAGTTTGAGCCTTTGAAAATCATGGAGAAGTTTCAGAAGGGTGCTAATGCAGTGAGAGAAAGTGTCGGTTCAGAGAAGGCTGTGAGATTTGGGTATAGGAAACCAAAGCTTGCCTTGGTAATTACTGTGAAAAGTTATTTCATTTTAGTTGTTTTAGTTTGGTTTTGGTCCATTGAGTTTGTTAATTTCAGCAGAAGGGGAAAAATGAAAATCTGGTCTCGAGTTTCTTTCCTTTTTGGCTATAACTGTTTTTTGTTTTCAAAATTTCAATTGTTTTTGCCACGTCAATAATTTTGTAGCCATGTCATATTTCCGGTATGCCACCTCAGCACCAATTGACCGGAATTTTCCTTTGAGACACAATTGCAAAATTTTTGAAAGGTTAGGTATTTTTATGCTAAATTGAAAAGGTGGAGTTTAATTTGCAATTTTACTAAAGGTTGGGTTTTTAATTGCAATTAACCCTTTAGACAATTTTGTGGGAAATAAATATTTATTGAGAACTATGATTACCTCTTCTCGCCCGAGTTATATTCCGTGATGTCGGGCAGTGCTAGAGTTGCACCGAGCTTCCTCGCAATCAGAACAGCGTTTGCCACCTGAGATGCAATAGAGATTATCTTATTTATACTTTATTCATATAAACTCGGATGTTATTCATCTTTTATTTTATATTTGACATAACTGATCAAAGGTTAATATTTGAACAGACCTGCGAAGCGTGGTACTCCGGACCATGAGTCAAGGAGAAGAAGATGTAGCCGCCAGACTGCTGTTTTCTCTCTGCCATATATTAAAAGAAAAAAGATACATAAATAATTAAATTAAAGAAGCAGCATATTTAGATATGGATGTTTCACAGATGCTCATTTGTCAGAAATAAAGTGGGAAATCTTACTCAGAATGGGTTTTCTCCAGCAGGTCTGGACGGGTTCGTCATGTTCCAGCCATGGCCCGTTGTTGATTTCAGATAATTTCAGCACTTTGGGTTTCGAAGTCGGCTTGAGATTGCTGTACTTAACCGGCAGTGATTCCAATTCCTAGAATAGAATTGATAGCATGATCAAACTTCTCTATTTAGACGAACAGTTATGTGCTTCTGCTATTTGGGAATCAGAACTCAGAAGCTGGAGTTAGATAGCTATTATCCTATTCACAAACAAAAGTTATGATATTATACTTTGCATTTCACAGAAAGCTATACCTATCAACAATTGTACTTCATTGTTATGCTTTAATTGGAAGTTACTAATTGACAACTGTTAAGTTATTGCCACCTTTCTTTTGTGTAATTTATAGTTGAATTAGTAAAGAATAAAAACATAAACTATGGCATTTAAAGATAATTAATTCCAAATAATTTAAAAATAGAAAGAAAGTGAGACTTAAAAGGAACTTAAAAATAGAAAAAAAAGAGACTTAAGCTTTTCATTTCAGGTCGCCAAATAACGATATGCGCTACTATGCCTCATTCTTCTGTAATCTTTCAATTTTAAGTCAAAATATTTTACATTCATTTTGATCAAGGCTCAACAACAATTAGCGAAAAGCCAAAACAATTGTTTAACCAGCAAATGCCTAAAACCACAATCTGGATGCAATTACACAAAATTACACAAAACAAACATGTTTCACATAATAACCGTAAAGACTTACAATTAGCGGATCGATATGGTCTCTCTTAATCATGTTTCCAAGCATTACAAACATCGAAAATGTTAGAAAAGCAGCCATAACTTGCCTCAAATCAAAAGCCATTTCTTGCCTCACTATGAATACCTATCAGATTTTTTCTCTCTCAGCTTTGTTGAGTCTGTGCAATGCTTTTTTCTGTTCACCCTTTATATAGACACACCGACTCTATTGCTCAAATTTATTGAGTGTCACAGATTACAGGAAAAGGCAACCTGCACCGATTGAGAGTAGGAGGTAGTTAAGAAAACAACAGAAATTGGCTTAAATTCAATTAAAGTGACAGCCCAAAAACAGCTAGTGGGGTGCAAAAATGTGATGCATGAAAAGCCAAACCACATCAGTAGATGTCCTTAGTGATTTCTCCTTTTCTTCTTTCTTTATTTTTGTTTTTGAATTATTTTATTATTCTCACGTCATTTCTTAATTAGTTTCGTTCTTTCCAGAAGAGTTTGGCATCCCAAAGGACAATAAGTGCAAGTACCATTAGGTAACCAATGTTTTAAATAGTTATAAGGATCAGATATAATAGATGGACGATAATAATGCATGGAGACACCATGATATCAAGCCTTAATTATTGTTTGATTATTTAGAAATAAATATTATTCATGTTATTTAATAGCTTTAATCAGTGGATCATAGTTCAATAAATTTTGCTGGCACTTTGACATGTTTGCTTACAAAAATATATTTATAACCTAATACTCATTGAACAAATCACCTGCAATGAGGAGCTGTGTAGACAAGATATCAATTAGGAATAAGGAAATCGTGGGATAAAATTACAATATAATCAAGCACTAATAACATATTTATAAGTAGTACTGAATAATGTCTATACTTACTAAAGAATGTCTATAATGTTAATTCATAATGTAGAAATCAAATTATTCGCTTCCTTGTATTCTCTTAAGATGTTCGTAGCTAATTACTTTTAATTACAAGCAAAACACATGCTTTTAGAATCATTAATCTGTCACATACCATCGTGGCAATAGTGAATTTTAACAATGCTCAGCGATTGCTATAGAAAGTCATGGATGTTCTGTGGATGCTTGTCATCTCTTTTCCTATATTTTCTTCCACGTAAATGCACACCTCATTGCTTATACTTTTGAGGGTATTCATTCATCTTTCAAATCAAAACATAAAAAACTACACAGAAATAAATACAACTACATAAGTAGGCTATTTATACTTTTGTTATGTTCTTGTCTTGGCTTATAAAGACCCAACTAACATTAGTTTCATATAGTGTAACTAAAGATAATTAATATATTTTGTAATTAGAAAATGATAGTAGTGACTTATTGTTTTAAAGTACATGTTTGATGCATGAAAGAAATGCCGTATACATTTTACATTTAGAGCAATGTCTCTACTTAGCATATCTAGTCTATATACGTGAAACAACTATGATGAATTGATGATGCTATAATAATATCATCATTAGCTTCAGTTTCTGATTTTTTCAGTTTTCATCTTATATATTTTATAACAAATATAGAAGTTGATGTGTTGAGAACGATCAAACATACATCTTAGAACCATTAGTAATGATACAAATGCTTGGCACGCAGCAACAATCGTACTTATTTCTACTGCTTCAATTGATTTCTCAAATACCATATGACACATAAGCCGAAAATACTTTAACAGATATTAACCAAATTTGAATTAACCAAATTTGAGTAAAGTTGAGAGAGATTACAAGGATGTAGCTCCAAGCTGAAGAGAAGCAGATATTGAGTCCGTTTGAGTTCTTGACCCCACAGTTTTTATCAGTAAGAATCCCAGCCCACTCTAACTTGGAGGGCTCAGTCGCCATTGTCGTAAAATAGACAGCCATAAATAATCTTTTAAGCTGAACTCTGGATTCTTAATCCACATTTCATCATCTTCGATTATCACTCTGACGTGGAATGCCCTTTTGTAGACCCCAGGCCAGGCTGGAGCAAAACCCCGGAAGAGTCCGACTTCTCACAGCCGAGCTCAAAAGAGAAAGTTTCTCAAATTGCTCGCCCCAAACTCTATTCCACTGTGGAATCAAAAAGTCAACTTTCTTTTCCCTCGCAACTGATCAATCTATCGTGAGAAAACGCAATCGAATGCCATGATCAGCCCATGAATTTTCTTAACACCTTTCATCCACATCTAAACCTAGCAATGAAGGCACCAAGAGCACAATTGTGCTTTCCGATAAGAAGTAGCCAAACAAAACCACCCCGCTTCACAACAGCAGCCCATCTCAAAATAGCTCAGGATTCTCATTATCATATCCACCGGAATATATCCTTATCTTCGTCAAGCTTGAATGTGAAATTTATGCCCGGGGCATTGTCTTTCGAAATCGGGGGCCTTCTGTTCGGTTCAGATAAGGGGAGAATGCCGGCCGGTCCAATGGCGGCCATTTTGCGGTATGTAGGATTGTAGGTATGGAAATGCGCATTTTTCGTCGGCATCTGAATGTGGCCTATGTCGGTAACCTTGTAGTGGTTTCTTCAAATCGCCATCTGCGTCTCAATCGCCCTCGCCGCAAATCTGATCGTCAAATGCATCGTCAGCTGGTCTATTGTGTAGGTTTTCTTCTCCGATGGGAGATGCCTCTGCTGCGTTTTGTGGCTTCTTGTTGTTGCATTCTACTTTGCCTCCTGATTCGGAATTTAAGGTATGTTTGGTTGAAGTAAGGGAAAGGGAGGAGAGGGATCTATATCTATATATATCTAAAAAGGTTGATGTAAAAATCATTTTTAGAAACTTAAAATAAATTAAGTTGACTTTTGACTTTCTATTTATGTAATCTCAATCAAATTTTGAAAAACAATCGTGATAAGGATTATGGAATACGAAATTGATAATTCCGATAATTAAGGCATTAGATATTCTTTTTTTTTAGCAATGGATATACCCTTAACGTGATAAGATATCTACATATGATTGCATATTTTGTTGTTGCATCCCAAAAATCATGGAATTTAATATCTATCCAAATACAATCCATAATTATCTTCAATCACTTTTGGTGAATAAAAACAATATCTTCCATTTTTTTTTCGATCAATTCAAACGTGCAGAAAAAAAAAAAAATTGTATAAAAGGATATTCACTTCCACCATTACAACTCATCATTCACGAGTTGAGAGAAAAAAAAATATAAAGAACAATTCTTCACATCGACAATATAATGCTTCCAGGTTGGGGTACACTTGATTCCGTTAACAGAAGAAACAAACCTTTTTTTGCCAGTCCGCATTATTGGAACACATCACGAACGGAAGAGTTGGAATGCATTCCATATACTGTTTCATGATGAACAGGTAATATTTACCTTTGTTATTTCAATTTTATATAATTTGAGAAATTATTTTAATTAATATTTATGAATTTGTATCGTAGGGTGCATTTATTAAATGCAAGGTAATATATACATTTGTTATTTCAATTTTATATAATTTGAGAATTATTTTAATTAATATTTATGAATTTGTATCGTAGGTGCATTCATTAAATGCATAATACGTTATCCGAATATGACAGCATTTCGAGGTACACTGAACGAAGGCGAGGTGTATTCAATCTCCAACTACAATATTGAATTTAATAGACATTGCATAATTCAGACATTGTATTCAAACCTTTTTTGCGTTTGAGAGCAGTCCGCATTATTGAAACACATCACGAACGGGAGAGCTGGAATGCATTCCATATACTGTTTCATGATGAGCAGGTAATATTTACCTTTGTTATTTCAATTTTATAGAATTTGAGAAATTATTTTAATTAATATTTATGAATTTGTATCGTAGGGTACATTCATTAAATGCATAATACTTTATCCGAATATGACAGCATTTCGAGGTAGACTGAACGAAGGGCGAGGTGTATTCAATCTCCAACTACAATATTGAATTAACCGATCTGTTCAGACATTGCATAATTCATGGAATGAAATCCGGATTTTTCTTTTTTTTTTTTCTTGCGTTTCCTATTTAATATTTGAAACCGCACAGATAAATATTCAAGCGTTTTTAGTTAAAATCTGTTCATGCGTTTCCCAATCTGCACTGATATATCTATTATTGCAAATAAAATTTGTTCACACATATGATTAATTAGGAATCACGTGTTTCACAATCTGCACTGATATATTTATAACAAATTTGCACTGATATATCTATAACAAATTTTCTAATTATTAAAACATGTGCCATATTTTTTGCAATTTAAAAAACAACTATTCCTTATTTTATGCACGCTAATTTGAAAGAGAATCCTATATATATATATATAGTTGTGGATTTTTATCATCTTCTCCAACTCATATAAGTTTCAAAATTCAGAGAATAAAACACATCGAAATACAGAGGAAAAAAAATACAGAGAAAAACAAATGCACTGAAAAAAGACAAAAAAAAAAATGGCACAGGTCTGGGATACACTNTTTTTTTTTTCTTAACCGATAATCTGTTCAGGCATTGCATAATTCATGGAATGAAATCCAGATTTTTCTTTTTTCCTCGCGTTTCCTATTTAATATTTAAAACCGCACAGATAAATATTCACACATTTTCAGTTAAAATCTGTTTACACGTTTTCCAATCTGCACTGATATATCTATTACTGCAAATAAAATCTTTTCAGTTAGAATCTGATCACGCGTTTTCCAATCTGCACTGATATATCTATTACTGCAAATAAAATCTGTTCACACGTATAATTAATTAGGAATCACGCGTTTCACAATCTGCACTGATATATCTATAACAAATTTGCACTGATATATCTATAACAAATTTTCTAATTATTAAAACATGTGGCATTTTTTTTTCAATTTAAAAAACAACTATTCTTTATTTTATGCAAGCTGTATATACATTAATACTTAAAATGTTAAACGCAAAGATAAGGTTGAAATAGACGGGTCAACGAATTCGATTAAATATTTATGGAACTTGCTTAAAACATCCGAAAGTATCTCTACTTACAAAATTATTAGGAATTGACTGCAAATCTTTCAAATATGAAATATTGTATTTAGTATTTACGTACAAAAATAACTGAATAATATAAATTACACCAATTGGTTATATTGTTTCCTTATATTAATGTATAGAAACTTATTTAATATAATATAAAACACATATAAATTTAATATACATCTTATCCCAAAATGAGATTAGATGCAGTCTTTATCTTTTGTAATATATTATTATTTTCAACGCGTAGGAGATATACATATATAATGAGATATACGCGTAGGAGATATACACGTTTAAAGAGAGACGATGCATTCATTATTTTTTAAGTATATTTGATCAACCGGTTTTATTATAGATATAATATATGTAAGAGATATTGCAATTAATATTTACGTACACATTTAAGTATGGAATCTTTCATATATAGATTTTAAATTTTTTGTTTTACTTCTACTATAAATAAATTAACTAAATTTTGGTAGAATACCATATTATAAGATATAAATTAATAAATTAATATTCAAATGTTGAAGGCAATAGTAAACCAATTATATTATTTCCTAATATATGTAGGATAAATTGCAATTAATATACACGTTTATAGAGTTTGTTATGCATTCCATAATTTTTAACTGCGTAATCAACCAGTTTTATTATTTTCGAATATATATTTACGTACAATATTAATACATTTAAGTATGGAATCTTTCATATATAGATTTTAATTTTTTTTTACTTGTACTATAAATTAACTAAAATTTGGTAGAATACCATATTATAAGATATAAATTAATATATACAATTAATAGATACATACGGTACCCATGCGATGCAATCTTCCACGAATATAACAAGTACATACGGTACCCATGCGATGCAATCTCCAAATTCAAAATTAATTGAAAATTTTAGTTTGTAGTGACGGTGACTCGCCGCCAAATCAAACGAAAAACGTTGTGTACAAAACAATTTTCAATAATTTATGAATTTTGTAGTTTGCGCCCAACGTTTTCCTTTTGTTACAAATATAACAAGTTCATTAAATTTAATATTTAATATTAAAAAATGTTTAGAAATATACCATCCCGTGCATCGCACGGGCAATTACTAGTTTTAGTGGAAGGGAGGTGACATGTAAAATAATTTTATCTTGTTTAAAGAGATTTTAATTTTATCTTGTTTAAAGAGATTTTGTAGGAGGTGAGTGGAGGGAAAATGGTAAGGGCTTGATTGTTTATGAATTATTTCATTCTCATCTATACTTATATTAAAAGGTATACCATTTACCAGATTTAGTATAAAAGAAAGTGAACAACATTTATTGCATTACTATTTCCGTATTATACAATCTATACTTATATAAAAGGAGATTCTATTTACTATATTTATTATCCAGAAAAGTCAACTGCATTAAATGCTATTACTATTTTGGTATTATAATATTTTATTTATTTAATTGATTTATTTATTTGTTTTATTTTAAAAAGGTATATATAATAAAAAGATTTTAATAATAAAAAATCAAATACCAAATAAAAATGTACACTTTTACTTATTTGATTATATTTGGTATTTGATTATACCAAATATATTCCTATTTAGTATATACATTAAATATTTACTAAGGTATTTATTTTTTTTTTATTTGTCAAAGTTAAGTATAGATTTGTTTATATTATCAAATCATAAAAAAAATATTAAATCCATATTGTAAAAAAAATCATATAATTTTATAACAATTCTACTACACTATTTAACAATATTTTTTTTATTATATAATAAAATAATAATTAAATATTATATAGCGAACAACAATAAGTAAAACTGTTACTTTCTCTTATATCAAGGGATAAATTTATATGCTAAAATTAAATTTTTATTAGTATAAATGTTTTAGTGAGATAATATATTAATTATTTTACAAGCTAGCCCTAACATGCTCATATTTAATGTTTTAAAAGATGTAGAAAAAAAACTTATAATAACTCTATTGTTTTTTAGACTTAAACGTTGATTAAAAGAGGTAAAAATTCCTAATTTTTTAGACTTAAACGTTGATTAACACCATAGATTGAGAGTTTATATTTAGTAAAATTCCTAATTGTAATAAAAAAATTAATTTTTGCTATATTTTAGAATATCTTTAAATTCATTATAAAAAAAAAAAAAAAAAAAAACTACAATGAAGCAAGTCAACTATATATCGATTTGTTGTACTCCTCAAATCACATTCACAATTTGGCTACAAGGAAAGGAAACTCATTGATTAAAATATTATTTTGTCAGTAGTCTTAATGTACAAGAGACTTTAAGACTCCACTTGAATATTATAAAACTTTTATTGAACATTGTACAATTTTCTTGCGTATTATAAACTTTTATTGAATATTGCATCTTATAATATAATATTCTCCAAATAAATATATCTCGTGCTTTGCACGGGTCACGTACTATATATATCCCGTACATTTTTCTGTATTCATGTATATAATTATAAGCCTGGATAAATAGCCTTAAAATTGTGCACCCCGTGCATCGCACGGGCTCTGAACTAGTTTATTTTATACTCAAAATTTGACTCATTTTTAACTCAACTCTACTATCTTTAATATTATTCATATAATTAAATAATACAAACCAATCATTCTTACACATCACATCAATTTCAATTCACTGTTCATCACTCACATAATTTTAACTACCAATCATTTATCTCCTACTTTTACATCAAATTAATTTTAATTATTTTATTTTAAATATTATTATAATACATTATTAAAATTCTACTAACAACTAATCATACCAAATGTTTCAAAATTAACTATGGTTAACCAAAATAATTCATTTTGAACAAATTATTTCATAAACAATCACCCCCTGTTTGGTTAGAAAAATAGAAGGGAAAGAAAATATTGTAAAAATGACAGTTATACCTTTAATGATGTAAGAAATAAAAAAATAAAATAATTCCATAATAAAGTCAAACTAGTGTTTTTGTTGTTAAAAAATTCCCTCCCCTCCAAATTCTCCTAATTTTGAAGGGGAGAAGATTTTCCCTTGGAGGAGGGATTTGAAGGGAAAATCGCAATCCCTCCCCCTATAAAAAAACTGAACCAAATAAGAGAAAATTATAAAATTCCCTCTCCTCCCTTCCCCTCCCCTCAGTTTCCCCCAATACATGGGTTGTATTTGTATTTCTCAAGTTTTCAAAATCGGCCGGTTCTATGTTCATTTATTAGATCAATGATCGAACTAGTTTTTTTTACAAAAATGCTCCTTCTCCCGTTTATTTACCGCTTTTCATTATATTCCCTGCCGTCTTCTTTCCACGTAAGCAACTATACATTAACCAAAAAAAAAAAAAATCTATTTTACAATCAATACCACATTAACTCTATTTTACAATCAATACCATCTCGCCTCTTAATTTGTTCTTCTCCAATTTTTCTAGCCCTAAGGAATCCGCTCTCATAAACTTTGTCCAATCCACAACAAATCGAATGAAACTTGACGGGCCTGAAAACAGTGACGGAGCCAGGATTTTTACTCAGGGGGACTCAATTTTAAATGTTAAATAACGAGTTTGTAGTTACGTAAAAACGAGCATTTCATATAATGTTGTGTTTACTTATAAATATAATGTACCATCAAATTTTACAACCTTAGAATCCGTATCGCCCTCAAACTTTTTTTAAGCAAAAAATAAAAAATAAAAAATAATATTTCGTGTATTTATAATTTAAGTTTAAGATCTATAATTTATGAAAAAAATAAGTTTTTTTGTTCAAAAATTGATTTACATAGAACTTTTGCAACTCATTGCATAACATTTTTTGTTGATGAGAATTTATCAAATGACCATTTTATTAATAAAAAAATAAATAAAGTTGAAATATGTGATTACATAAAAAAGAAAGTAAAAAATCAACATTCAAATATATAATCGATCAACATTAAAAAATTTAACAATCCAACTAAATTCTAGGTTTTAGAAATCATTAAATTGATTTCCAATTAAGAGGTCGAAAGAGTAAATTATTATATCATTTTCAAAAATATATCTCAAAATATAAAATATAAAGATTGTTAGTATACTTTTTAATAAATAAATAATATTATTACTTTAAATTAAAATAGCATTGAAAATAAGTTTTAATTGTTTATATATTCTACATGTTCTTTATATTTTTATTCATATTTTATAGTTTTTTTTTTCATTTGTATATAACTAAATATATATAATGATTTTTAAAAAAAATTGAGGGGGGCCTACATGCCCCCCTGGACCCCATGTAGGTCTGTCTCTGCCTCAAACCATATTTACGACTGCATAATTCGTGACGGTAAGAAGGCCTACTGAGTTAAGGAATTACACAGGAGGATTCAAAACCCTCCAATTTCGTCGTTGGGCGGCTGCGGAGGAAGAGAAGAAGAATTTGCAGGGGAACCAGTGGACAGAGTGGGTCGGGCGAGAGAGAGGAATGCAAGGAGGAAGAAGGTAAGAGAGAGAGAGAGAGTTGGGGAGGTTGACGCCATTGATGTAATGTGTGGGGAAGCTTTTTCTAAGTTGAAATTAGGTATTTGCAAAAAGCTTATTATAGCAAAATTGATGTTTGTGGCAGAGAAGCACAATAGATTTGTAGGTTACGGATGGAGATAGTGAAAGTCAGTGGTTACGACGGTAGGTTACTAGAGATAATTTTTCATTAACTCAACTTTAAAAAAAGTCTTCTTTTTTTTGGACAAAATAATAAGAAAAAAAAAACGATGACTATATTGACACGTCCGGGAGTTATTTGATGCGGTAGAAGTTGGAGGGGTATGTAGCGGTATTGTTTTTTTTTTTATTATAAACTAGATCAATACAATCAGATGATAAACGAGTTAAGTACTACATCAAAGAAAGAAGGAAAGAAAATAAGGAAATAATCACTAAACATGAGATAATTTCGAATCAACGGCCCAATTCGCTATGTTCTGGGCCACCCCATTTTATTCTCTTGGTAAGTAACTGCATCGACCACAATTAATAGAAATGAAGAGTGCTCTAATATCATCAAATACTCCAATCAATGGATCGAGCTCATATTGGCAAGAAATCCCGCTGACAATGCCCATAGAATCCGTGAAAGCAGTCTGAATATTGAGACCCAAGTCCGATGCAATGTGTAGCCCGTATCTGACTAGTTAGAACGATTTAGTTAATATAATTTTTTTCATTTGTTTTAAATATATAATATATAATTGTATCATTAATTTTATAGTATAGTTCAATAATTACTATTCTTTTTATTCCTAAAAATTTCACATGTACATCCGTAAAACTTATAAACGATAAATAAGATAATGTGTACTTTAGCCACAAATATATGGGCGCAACAGTGAACAAACATGCGTTTAAAAAGCTATAGTATGACCAACTCCAACATCTCTGTTAAACTCTAAATTTGTCTTCCTAAACTTTACCTCCCCATATTTCAAGCTCTTTATTTCACTTTTACTTTAGCAGCCTCCTTATTTTTGGTAGCACTCAGTGTTAAATTATATATATATATGAATATGTAAGTAGAGAGGATGTATTACAATAGGCCAAAAGAAAATAATGGGAAGCCATTTTGGCTCCCTACATCTAGAGAGGATGTGTAGAAACGAGCTCCTTAATTTAGAGAACTTCCCAAGAAAATAATGACAAGTGCATTATGTCATCCATTTACTTCCCTTGCTGTCATTTCCTCAATTCATTTCCACGGGTGTGTTTGCACAAGTGATCTGATTGGTACTTATCAAAACTTTAAGCAACTTTTCTAGATTTGTTACTATAACCAACACAACATTTTGCTCATTTCTTGATCCTAACAAGTGAGATTTTTGTGCAGCAGGCAATGAAAATGATGCATAGCCATCTCAACAGTTGGACTATATCGCCCAACATCATATGCTGGAGACTCAAGCCCTTGTTGTACTGATTTACATAAGAAACTGTCTTCTTCCTGCATAATTGTATTAACACATCATATATATTCTTTGATCAAATAGAAGGAACAAAAAATAATATTTTTTTATGTTCACGGTGTAGATTAAGAAGGCACCTGTACTCTATGGCTGTCCTCTAAACTCTTCTCGATGAAAGCACTGTCGTCCTACGAATAAAAAGGAAATTATATACATGTTTACTCATGAAACCGAAAATGGGGAACCTATTTGTTAAAAATTACAAATCTTACCCTCATGGAAGCATCTAGAAAGTAATCGAATATCACTTGGCATTTCCGAGGTCCCAGTGGTAGTACAAGGTTCGTGTCCATCCATGGTCCGTACCTAATTAACATTTTCAGATAGAACTCTGTTGCCGGATAACTTTAAAAAAAAAAAGAAGAAAAACTTTCAGGCATAAATTAAACCACAATACCTTGATTGTAAATAACTAACCTATTAATCATGAAGTTTGGGTAGATAAACGCATATAAAGCTTTTGTTCCAAGTCTGTTGAATTCTTCTTCCCGATCCTTGTTATTGCCAGCACACCATTGGATGCTAACATTTTCGTACATCTTTGATAATAGATGAGAAAATAAAGGGAAAAAAACATGACGGGGACACAAGGAAATAAAAAGAGTGAACATCTGTAAATGACGAGATTTGTGTTGGAATACCTCTATTGAGTATGAATCAAGTTGGAGACCGGATGCAAGCCCTTTATGTGCATAAGGGACATGATAACCACCATCTAAATAATTGTCACAGAAGACCTAAAAACACATAAATTTAGTTTAATCAAACAATGTATCTTCCATTAAGTAGAAGTATTATCGGATGCATACGCTTAGCTTCATGGGCAACAAAGTATCAATGAAAAATTGATTGATTGGAAATCTAAGGGATGCAATGTTTTGTAAAGCTAAAAAGGACAAAAGCAAAATAGAAGAAGAATACATATAAAATAATAACAAAATAAATAAAACAGAGAATATAAAATGATTCTTCTTCAAGAAAGTAATTATGACGCTAATTCTTTCAAGGACAAAATCAACAGAGAAAACAGACCTTCCAATTGCAATCGAGGGTATATATGCGTCTGCAAACATAATCTAATGATGTATCAACCCCTCCAGAGCTCAGTACACCTGCAGCACTACCTAGCCATTCATTGCCCACGGCCTTTGTATCAATATATTCATTCGTTCTAACTTCTTCAAAATTGATCAGTACAAATGGCCCCCAGATGGCGACTTTCAGTGGGACGAGTCCCATTTCCTGCATCCCATAAGGCTAGATGAGAAACAAAAACCATCCTTGGGTAGGGAAAAAGAAAAAGAAAAAAGAAAATACAAAATGTTATGCCACCTACATTCACTTTGAAGTTCTTGATCCCTTCTATTCTTGTTGCCTTCATGAGTGCTCCATCCAACCCATAAGTCCAACCCTAAAAGATTAATGGATAAAAAAAATTATCATAATCCAAGACAATGTTTTGATTCTCAAACTCTATGAATATGTATTAAAAGAAAAGCAACTAATATGATGTGCATTATGAAACTTCAAAATTAACTTCTTCTTTTTTTCTTTTCTCAAAGGACACAGAGTTCTTTGGTAATTATGTTATCTAGTAAAACCAAAAAGCTATACAGAAACAGTAGCAGAACATTTTAAGCACTCGAGAACTCACATGGTAAGGACAGACAAAACAAGATCCTTTCCCAGTTCCGGAGGCCACAAGTGATGCATGATGACGACACACATTGTGAAAAGCATGTAATGTGCCTTCCTCATCCCGACAAACTACGTACTCAATAGATCCCAATCTGATGCAGTCACTCATTAGCCTTAGCCAACCTTTAAAACAGAGCTTAGTTATGTAATTGATTTTTGTTCTAGTATACCATCATAAGCATAATTTAGCCAACATGTATGTATAACCAGATCTTGGTTCCTTTACTTTGATGCTTCCTTTCCCTTTTTTTTTTTTCNTTTTTTTTTTTTCCGGTCATTGTTTTAATTGAAAACTGTTCTACTGTTTCCGAGGTTCACAAGGAAGTGAGTCATAACAGAGTGAAGTGAGAGATAGTGAGAATGACTGCAAATTTACCTGCCGGTAAAGAATTGACGTGGTTCTTTAATCTGTTCGGTATATCCTGACAATTACAATAAAAAATTAAATAAACCAAGTGAAGGGTAAAAATTAGGCACTATGGAACATAAAGACATAAACAAGATAATCTGTTGAATGTATACAAAGGATTCCAAATAGGTGAATCTACTAAAAACTAACGAAAGATATGTTGAATGCAAATAGAAATAATAATGGTCCTGTACAAAATCATCACAGACATGAGCTTAGCAGCAAATATCAAAATACAATTCCAGTCTTCAATTAATATGAACCGTAAATCATTTCAAACTAAAGGGGTTAACTGATATCATCTGAATTCTCAAACAATACCATCATTGGTGAACCGTGTACGAATTACGAAGGTATACCAATACGTGTAACACACCTTCATAAATACACAAAATTGTGAATTTTCAAAAGAATGCCTACAAAGAGTTTTGGATAAAAGCATACCGATGGCTTGCCATCCTCTATAAAAAACTCGGTTAAGCTCAACGGAGTAAAAATCAGGGTCGGTGTACCAAGAGCTTGGTGGGGTCCGCGCCTCTTCTATTGGAATATCGGGGTCAAATCCTTGAATCAGTCTTGTGATTTTGCCATGGCTTTCGGCGGTATCTTCTGCTGCCGGGCACGGATTATGCGAGGAATTGCCGATTTTGCTGCGGCAAAGGGTGAATTTCTTGCTGGGCGGAGCTCTCTCGGTGAACTTTAAATGATAGTGTTGAATTCTAGGGTATTTATGAGGTGGATGGAAAAAAAGAAGCTCCTGAAGCAGTGTTGTGGCCGCCATGGCTAATGGAACAACGTTTTATGGGAATTGAGACTTGTATTGTATGATGATCGGCCTTCTTTTGAATTTGAACTTCGAACTACAAAGTCCGGTTAAAGCAGTGGCTAGCCCAATGATTATTGGAAAGTTATCGTCCTCTTAGTCGAACATAATCATTCCATTTTATTTAAACGATAGAGAATACTATATCAATTCAGACCATCTCCATTTCTTAACTCTACTCTAGCGCGAATTTTATTGTACTTTAGAGTAAAGTTAAACATTTGTCTCCAACCTTATTTTTACATTTTACTCTACATCAAATATATTATGTTTTTATTTATTTTTTATTTTAAATAAATTAGTATATATATGTATATTTAATCTTATATAAATGTTTATTACCCAAATAATAAAAATATGTTTAGTAAAAAAAATACAATACACAAAGTTATAATACGTAAATAAAGAAAAAACACAAAATTATTTAACATAATAATACGTTACACAAATTTATAAATTGTTAACATAAAAAATACATTACATAAAGTTATTTAGCATAAAAATACATTTACTAATACACATTATACAAAAATTTATCATTAATATTACATTACAATACATAAAAAAATAAAAATTGTAGAGAGGCTACAGTGTTGCGCCAGATGTGGCGCAACACTGTTACAATCTCCAAAATAGCGCAAGCATCTGGCGCAGGGCTGGACTGCATTTTAGCGCTATAATAGTGCAAAAAGAGAGAGATAGAGCAGCGCTGGAACTACTCTCAGCAGAACAAAATTCGAATACAAATAGAGCACCTAACTACAATAGTAAATAGAAAATTGAGAGGACAAGCTTATAAAACGGCCTAGAGAAACAGAATCGTAGCTAAGGCAAAAACAACTTGAGCCCTTAGTCTACAGAGATAACTCACTAACAAAGATTAGAAGGAGATAATCTAACCACCGCCACAACTGTCTAGCTAGGGACATCTCCTATAATTAGTCCAATTTTTCTTTTTCCCAATTTCGACGAGCCAGCCCGTCTAGCCCGCGACCCGTGGCGGGGTTGGGCCGGGCTAGCTATTTTGAGCCCCGCCAAAATGGATGGGCCGACCCATTTTGATCTATCTACTCTCAAGTTGTGTTGATGTGTGTTCACTTGGTAATTAATCTAGTTTAAATATTAATGCTATAACTTACGAAAAAAAAAGGAAAGAAAATAGAGGGAAAAAATGAATTACAAATAAAATAGAGGGGGAAATAAGTGAAAAGATCCACCGAGGACCCCAATTTATCTCCAGATCCATCGGTCAAAATCAGCTACCCTCCACTTCGGGTAAGGGGGGGCTGCTGTGACCCACTAACAGCAGCCCCAGCTGTTATTTTACAGCCATCAGATCTATTCTAATCTAACGGCTAAAAGTTGGATTTTTTTCTCTTGTAAACAATTATTTCCTGTACTCTTTCTCTCTGTCCACTCTTTCCCAAAAAAATACACCGCCAAAAAAATTCTCTCCGCCGCGGGCTCCATCGCCGCAACTGCCGTGGTTGTCCACGCCGTCGCCAACGACCTCCTCCCGCCGGAGCTCCACGACCACATTTTATCCGGCATCCGCCGCCTCCTCTCCGCCTTCTCCAACCAGCTCACTACGGTCATCTACGAGTTCGACGGCCTCGACCCCAACGACATCTACCAGGCCGCCGAGGCCTACCTCGGCCCGAAACTCTGCTTGAACGCCCCAGTATATTGGGGATACGAATGTTTACGAGTTTGCGTATGTTGAGTCGAGCTTGGTGCCCGAGCGGCCTTTTTTGCGTCGAGGGTGAAGATTGGGAAAGAAGGGGTGGAAGAGTTTGTGAAGAAGGATCTCGAGGGGCTGACCGAGTATGAGAGTAAGGGATTAGAGGAGCTCAAGCCGGAGCTTAAGCCGAATATTGAGAAAGGGGTGGATTTCGTCAGGAAAGGTTGTGGCAGCTTGAGAGCTCGATTTTTACTTTTTTTTAGGGGAATGAAATAGAAAGTAGGTTTGAGTTTTTCCCCCTTTCGTCTTAAACTTGGTGAATGTCATATTATATAACATAGTCCTACCAGAATCCATATGCCAAAGAACCATGTTTGCGTACACACTTCAAGCCAGCTACTGTACCCATTTTTGTTCTACCCAATCATCTTCCCACCAACCATTTTGAGTCCTTTAAATTAGAAAGTACATTGAGGTCAAGACTCATGAGCCAATTCTGTGCAGACTGCAGATACATTTCAGGGGTTTAACTTTTTGTATCAAACTGAAGCTATTGTTAATGGTTTCAAATTAAAAAACCATTTGATCATTGGTTTGTGCAAGTGTCTAAATTTGAAGACAAACTGGTTGGCACATAACTAGAACTGTTATAAATGGTTTGATTTTTTTTTTTTTTCCCTCAAGTTTTGTTAGAGATTTTTTGTTTGTACTTTTTGTGTGCTGGTTATGTAGGGACTGGATTTTGATGATAAATCTTGGGAAGCTTTTTTGCGAATGGGAATCTTGCTTGTAGTTTCTGATTTATGAGTCTTTGTGTGTGAGTTTAGGAATGCAGGGGAAGTGTTTTGAGTCGAAGAAGAAATAAGATTTGACTTATTTAGCTTATATAAGGAAATCAAAATCTCTGGCGTTTGGTTACATTATGTTTGCAGATTCTAATGGCTTTTGTGGTTTATTCACGTTTCCAATTTTGCAGACTTAAATATATTTCTTTAGTAAAATGCAACCTAATGTACTCCGAAAATTCAAAATTTGCAACTGCAAGTGCATTTCCACCACAATATTTTTTTTTCCCTTTCAAAAACTTGAAACTCTGTCTGAAAACAACCAACCATGATATTTCTTCTCTATTTTCTAAACCAGCCTAGCAAAACAAAAGAGAAATCCACTGATTTTCCTACTTACATAATTAGAAATGAACAAATGGTTGCAAGCTAATAGCAAACCAACTAACCGAACACTAGATTGATTAAATACAAAGGCAATCTACCAGAAAATATCTAAAAAGCTCCTCATCGTCTTCTTTTTCTCCATCATCATCAACTACAACTTTATCATCGGCCATCAATGCTGGATTGTGGCTTATCATCAATGCTGGATTGGGACTCCAACATTGATCAGACCAAAACCTATGTCTTTTTCCAGGGAATTTTCATGGTGCATTACCAGTAAGTAAACCACCGTTGAATTTTATTTTGAAGTCTCCTTCACTCGGAACAAGATGGGAATTCTCTTTTTGTATGTATCATCACATGGACAATGCAGAAATTTTTCGAACTTCGAGTTTAGATCTGAAACACACATTGAAAACAAAAGCGAACTGAGATAATTCCACAAGTTAAAGAGTGTTGATACCTACCAGTATGTCAATTTCATAAGCATTCTACCACATGTATGTTGCTTTTGTTGTTTTGCCAGTCGAAACTATTTTATTTGTTATTTGTGTGTGCCAGTGGGGCAGAATGGGGCGACCTTCGGTGCAAGATTGCAAGGGACAAACGAAACCTGTGGAGGGGCCGAATTATCCGGGCACGAGACCTTCGGGAGATGAAGTGGTGAAAAGCGTGCTGAACAAGATGAAAAGACCTGCATTTTTGCTCGACATAGTTTTGATGACTCAGTTGAGAAAAGACGGGCACCCATCGACATATTCTGGCGGAGGACAACTTGACTGCAGCCACTGGTGTCTTGCAGGTGTGCCGGATACCTGGAATCAACTCATGTATACAATTCTTCTATGGAATTGAAAAATGTGGTTACTCTTTAAGCGTATTATTGTGCGAGGAAAGGGAAATAAGAAGGAACTTGTGTTTTTGGCCTGAGATATAACTTTTGTTTTCAAGAATCAGTGATGTTGATATCCCCAAATCTTCTTCCAAAGTCATCAGGTGTAAAACTAACTGAATTTGAACTAGTTCTTGGAGAAAAAACGTACAATGGCACGAATAATAGGAAGCAAGATCCAGTTATCTTACAGTTGATCATGTTACAAAAATCATATTAAGAATTGTATAACCCTCTTGAAAGTGCAAGCTGTGAATGAGAAACAAATATCGAGAGGTATTTCTAATTTTTCTCGGGTAGTTAAGGCTAAACCTCGAAGGGTACAATGGTTCAGTTCCAGTAATACTTATACTTGACAGGAGGTCTGGCATATCTAGCAAAATCTTTATATCACCATCAAAAGCATAGGACTAATCGACCTCAAGAAAATAAAGAACAAATAGAGCGAAAATTGACTGATCGAAAATGATTATACATACAAACATTACAGCATACAATTTAACAAAGAGAAGCTTGACAGGAATCATAATTCTGACTCAAATTAAATGTCTCCAAAAAGTGGCGAATCAACTATTGATGTGCTTGAAGTTTTAGAAAAGATAGTCAGTGGCCAGAAACATATGAACAACTGTAGAAGTTGATGCTTAGCTGATTGAACCATAGAATAAGGAAAAAACACACAAAATTGAAACTAATCCTTCTAACTGCCCGAAACTCTGCCTGGCCGATGTAGGCCTCGGCGGCCTGGTAGATTTCGGTGGGAGGAGGTCGTTGGCGACGGCGCGGACAACCACGGCAGTTGCGGCGATGAAGCCCGCGGCGGAGAGGATTTTTTTGGCGGTGTATTTTTATGGGAAAGAGTGGACAGAGAGAAAAAGTACAGGAAATAATTGTTTACAAGAAAAAAAAATCCAAGACTTTTAGCCGTTAGATTAGAATTGATCTGATGGTTGTAAAATAACAGCTGGGGCTGCTGTTAGTGGGTCACAGCAGCCCCCCCTTACCCCTCTTCCACGTCGTTCGGATCCTCCCCTTCTCCTTCCTCCGCCCCCCGCGCCTCCGCCTGAAGCTGCCTAGCTTCACCCTCCCGTCCCCCATGACCGTCTACGCCCTCATCCTCCTCACCTACTTCATGGTCGTCTCCGGCGTCGTTTACGACGTCATCGTCGAGCCCCCGGGCATCGGATCCACGCAGGATCACTTCACCGGGGCGGTCCGGCCCGTCGTCTTCCTCCAGGGCCGGGTCAACGGGCAGTACATCATCGAGGGACTCTCGTCCGGGTTCATGTTTGTGCTCGGCGGGCTGGGCATCGTGCTACTGGATCTGGCGCTCGACAAAAATCGTGCCAAGAGTGTGAAGGAATCGTATGCCATGACCGGGGTCGCGTTCGTAGTTTTCTCCTATGTTATGAGTATGCTCTTTATTCGCATTAAGATCCCTGGATACCTTCGCTGATTTTTTTTTGCTTTCCTAACCTAGATTCAGTTTTTGTGGAGACTAAAAGAGGATTGGTTTTCTCGGTTTTACTAATGTATGACTGTATGAGGCTGTTCTTTCTGAGATACATAATGCTAATAGGATTATCTGAAATTTTGGATTGTCGTGTTGTTGGTTCCTTCTGAATTAGATTATGCACAAGTTACATTGTCCCATGTGCGTGCATTGTTTTGATATTTTTGGAAATTCTTGGATGAGTTGTGGGATTTAAGCTGGAACTCCTTGCTGTGATTTGAGTGTTAAACTTCAGTAATTCATTTAAATAGTTAACTTTGAGGGACTGTGATAAGGTACCATCTTTGCTGTGATTTGAGTGTTAAACTTAATGTTCTATGGGAATTTTGCCCTGTAATTGTGAATTTCATACTTGGTCCTGTGGGATATAAGATATGATAACTGAAATGTAGTTGAGCGAAGAGTTTGTTGTGTGGACATGGTACTTGTTATATTTTGTACCTATGGCCTCAGTATCTTATTCTCTTTTATTGCTTGATGATATACGGTTAATATACTTAATCCATTTTGGTCTTCTGAGCCACTTCAAGATATTAAATAGACATTTCCGTCTTTGTTCTATTTCCTTTTTCTTGAAGCCCTTGACATATGTGTGTGTCTTTGTGTGTAATGTAAGCATATCATACTTGTAATGAAGCAACTTCTTGAACCCCTTGATATATTGTAAGAAAGCGACTTTGAGCCCTAATTACAACTGCAAGTCGTATTTGTAGACCTTATCCTTAACCTATTTTCAACATATTGGTATGCTACACGTGCAAGTAGTGGCACTTGTTTTGTTATTTAGTAGAAAGATATTCTTCTGGCTACATCTTACTGGTTGTTCAATAATCGTTGTTCTACCTGTCATTAGAATCTTGCATCATGAGGGTGTGTGATGAAAATTACCTTAAACATTTAGCAGTTGTCGGGTGAGACTGTTTATTACTTTTACCCATTTCACCCTGAAGAATAACCGAGATCACTTATCAATATGGTTCGACCCTGTATTGAGTGCGTTTTTGTAGTCTTAAGTCAAGGCAGGTTGAGTAAGGTAGCGTTTGTGCTAAACTAGCTTTAGGATTGGGTATTGCAGAATATGCGGAGCAGCTCTAGATGGCTTTTTCTTATTACTTGCGTTCTTCTTTTAGTCGAAATGTGTTAATTTGCTTTTGCTATTTAAATAGCAACAGAAAGTGATACTGGAACATTTGATGAGACACATGGAAAATTATTTTAAATCGTAACTATCAGCCTATGTTTTTGCTTGTGCGTCACCTTTAACAAGCGTTCTTGGAAAATTATTTCAAATTGTAACTATCAGCATATGTTTTTGCTTGTGCGTCATCTTTAACAAGCGTTCGCGAATCATTTCATAAGACCGAGAGAAATTAATTGAGGGGAAAATACAATAAGAATCAAATTAATTGAGGGGGAAATACAAATCATCTCCCGAATCATTTCATAAGACCGAGAGAAAGTGATACTGCAGCATGTGATGAGACACATGGAAAAGTACTTCAAATTGTAAATATCACGATGAATTATATAAAATATATTGATATATAGTTTTACAGAGTTAATATAAACATATAAAACTTTTTTAATATAACATAAATGATACATAAATAGCTTACATTCTATAAAATATTATTTCAAATACGCAAATTATTTTTTAATTGTCAATATCATAAACTAATTCTTTTGATTTTCTTGTTAATCACTCATGAAACAAGTACATGATTACACCATAAAAATGAACATTGAGATTTTTTATGTACGGAAATATAATATAAATAAAAATATAAAATGATATTTAATAACTATTTTTTACATATTTAATATTTTATAATATTTATATTTGTTAATTTTTATTTAATTTTTAAGTTATAAAATGTCATGATTCTCAATAATGGGTTTTAATGTATGAATAATTAGATTATTATTTTTAAATCTGTAAGAATATACGGTATCAGTAGGTTATTTGAAATACACTTTAATAAATCCTTATTATCATATATTGACAATTGGAATAATTATATACAATTACATAATTGTTTCAAACTCATCTAACGTTATATACCTTTTTGTTAATTATTGCATTTATTGTCTATGTTGAGTCTACAACTAATATATATAAAAAAAAGGGAATATTCACACAATATTTTTGTGACATCTTTTGATGATTGTGCAAGATCTAGTTGCTATTTTGGTATAAAAAAAACTAAGGAATCATACAGATATGAACTTTCATTTATCTAGATTTTTTTCTTGATGTCATTTATAATTATTATATTTCATTTATAGTGTATCTTAAAAGTAAAGTTATTACTAAAACATTTCAAAATTCTTAAACTATTTAAGGTCACCAAAAAAAATTAATATTAAAAAAGTTGGTTACAATATGTACTAATTTTAAATGTATATGCGGTACAATTTTGTAATTTCGCTACAATATGATTTACTTATTAATGTGCATGTCCTCACGTAAAAAAATGTCAACTTAATTGGTATATTTGTAAAATTTAAACTGTTTATGCGGTGACAATTCAATAATTTTGTATAAATATGACGATATTTTTAAATCGCATATCTGCACACAATATTACTCATCAATATGGTGTATTTATTAAATTGATAATAATTTTGTATGAATATGACTATATTATTTAGTGTGCATGGCTGCACATAATATTTGTAATTTATTTATCAATATTGTGCATTTATTAAAATTTCTTAATAACTTACAAATTTTATCCATGAACTTAATTGAAATATAATTAAAATTTTTTAATTTGCAAATAAGACCCTCAAATTTATCTAATTTACAAAATTAAGCCCTAATCCAATAACACATTTGTCTGTCGTCGTTAACCTGATCCCCGCCGCACTTGCTCCCTTACGTAGCGTCGCATATGGATGCATGCTAATGAACGCCTAATCGAGCCCGGCGACGACGGCCTGAAGCCTCACACCGTCTCTGATTTAATTTTGATTGACAACTGATTGAATTGGGGGTTTAGGGTTTCATTAGTTGTTTTTCGTTGTTTTAATCGACATTTTGATTCTACAAGCGGATACAAGCGGACAAGACGGGTGGTGAAGCAGAGAACGAGGAACGCGAGGGCGACGGCATAAGAGAAAGAGAGAGAGAGAGAGAGAGAGAGAGAGAGAGAGAGATGACGGCATCAGAGATGACGATGATAGCGGCAGCGGGCGGCGGCAGGTGGCTACTCGCGATGGGGCTAGCGAGTTTGCAGTTGTGGAGTGTGTGTGTGTGTGTGTGTGAATTGTGAGTGTGTGTTTGTGTGAGAGAGATGGGAAAGTTAGTGTGATTGGGTGGGGCCAACGATGAGTGGATAGTGGATGAATGTATAATGACCATATTGCCCCTACTTACTGGTAAAGTGTATACACATGACCACAAATTGTACATCTATTTACGAAATTGCCAATGCATGTTGGATTGCCATATTTGACATTTGATTTTGACGTGCAGTTGCACCTCAAACCGGCCTTCCAGCGATCTTTGACCGCTTTGCTCCCTGGAGACCTGCAAAGACGCCAGGAGGTGTTCCCGGCGTTAAACCTCCAACGATCAAGTCAGTAAGGATTCTGGGAAGCTATCTAGAACTATATGAAATATTTCAGAGTATATAGTGTGATTAACCTTACCTCCCCAATTTTACCCATTTATGGGGAGTTATTAGCTTCCTCAATACGCTTTGTTCTCCTCCGTCAGATCATTTGTTCTTTTTTCCTTTTTTATCCTGACCTTACACGTGTCTCTTGTGGACCACCTTTACATAACTGCCCCTATAGGTCGGCCCTTGGTTATAAGATGCCCTCATAGGCCGGCTTCCCACTATAAAACGCCTTTGATACCTTATGTCGAGCTCAAGACTAGCGGAGCTCTTATCCTCCGAGCTATATACTGTCCGAACTACATCCGCGTTCAAGCCACAAGTAATAGCACGGATGCCCGAGCTTCACTTGCGCCGAGCTACTCCCATGTTATGATACTGTCGAGCTTCTCATAAGTGGTTTATACCCGAGATCCTATTATGCCGAGCTGCTTATTTTGACTACCCTCGGTCCATAAGCCGAACTAACTTTGACCGGTCCACCGTGTTACTCATATGTGCTATATCAGACTTGATTCTAAACCCACCATTTTGACTACCCCCGGTCCATAAGCCGAACTAACTTTGACTGGTCCACCGTGTTACTCCTATGTGCTATATCAAACTTGATCATGATCATTGATATATTGAACCCAATAGTCTAAACTTATTCTTATTTCTTTCATTATCTTTCTTTCTCATTTGAACCCAATGGTCTATATATATATAAATGAGAGCAATTCATATTCTCCGAAATATAATTCGTGAGGTGATTACTGACTTGAGCATCGGAGATTTTTCACCAAGAATCTCCTCGGTGAATTTTGCACGTCCATGAGGACATATTCAGGGATACGACTGACTCGCGGCTTATCGCCGGTTTATTTCCGATCTGGAGGTATTTGCTCATCAACTACTAAGTTTACAACAAACATTCTCATAAAAGTTTATCACCATACTCTGGAAAGAAAACTAAGCATACCATACTATCATATGAGAATGGAGAAAGAGAGAAAAACAAAAGGAAAACTAAAATAAAAAACAAACTGTGAACAACCTAATAGTTAATACTTACAAACTGTCACAATTCATCACCTACTATTTTCAAGGTCAACTTTAAACTTGAAGATTGCGGAGGGGAAATAGGAGAGCCCTCACTGCTTTGGGAGGCGTCTTGCACCTGAGCAGCAAACTGCAAATTCCATAGCACATCTTCAATCGAGGGCCGTTCAGCTGGATTCTCGTGCAAGCACCTGCAGCACATCTCCATCATCGTTTTTACAGATTCAGCCGAGCATGTGTTCTTCACTGCAGGGTCCACTAAGCTCTTTCTTGATACGTCATCGACTATTGTGCTGGCTTCAAACTGCATGCATTGTGGCATCAGAACAAGTGTTGTGTTGACAGTTGTTTTAGCATGTTCCTTTAATAGGATGGATGATTTTTTTTAGCAGAAAATTTAATATGTTGCATCATTTTTAAGTTCGTGTGGATGACCTGGCATTTAACTGCTTCGAGTTCGTTCCTGGAACTAATGGGCCTGCCAGAGATGATTTCCAGTAAGATTGCTCCAAAGTCGTGTATGTCCAGCTTGTCTTGATACTTTGCCCTGTTTAGAAATACAATGTATATGACTTCACATCAGAAGCACCATTATTGTTTCAAGAGGTTTAAAGTTAAGGGGTGGCCGAGTCTTAGGAGAAAATAAAAATCTTGAAAGTTTGAGGTATGTTAAAAGAGAAACAAAGTTTGTAGTTACCAGATTTTATGGATATGACGATTTTCGAATATCTGTACTTGTAAAGGTGTTTTTCCAACTTTAACGAGGTTTTTTTGACTCCTTCGTTTTTAGCCCTTAATTTGGGTTTCTTTTTAATATTCCCTATGACTAATATTGCAAAAAGATGATAGCAAAAAACTAACCCTGGAGTGGCTGGAGTTTTAGCTCAGCTGGGAAAAGCCTCCAGTTCATTACCAGAAGAAATACAATTTTGTAGAGAGTGTTTGTAATTTGGAAGTTATATCATTTTCTTTGTAGTAACGCAAAACCTCTAAGCTTTCACTTATAGTTACCACTATTTATGCCAGACAAATTAAGAAACAAAATCACACCTTGAACGCTTAATCCCCTTCGATTCACCAAGAAAATTTTGGATTTGGTCCTGTAAAACCCAGCACATTGTGGCAGTCGATTAGTTTGTGCATTAACAAATGTTATAATCATGAACTCAGAGAAACTACGTTTATATTTTCCGTACTTTTCCCATGTTGTCTGTTAGCAAAGGCAGGTTGTAACTGCTTATTTTCGAAACAAGGTTCTGGTCGAGCAAAACATCGGTTATTTGAATATTATTGGCAAAAAGACCAGGCACAATCCCTGTATGAAGGAACTGTATACCCTTTGCTATCCCTGTTGCAGCTGCTATACGCTGAGCCCATGTTAGCTTCCTTCTTACACGCCACTCTGCCAAAATACAATATCAAATGTCAGCGTGATTTTTTTTTTTTTAATTTTTTCAAAGATTTTTAGGCTTTTTTCTCAGTGAGGGTACCACATGCATGAAGATAATGTTCAGTGTAGACAAATATGAATGATATCACAAAAATATGAGAAATGCAGCAAGAAATATTGCATATTTAATTTTTTTTTTACCCGATATCCAGCTTCTTAGAGTTCCATTCGGGACATATTCGAAGACAAGAAATACCCTGCTCACGCTTGAATCATCCAAGTAATACTCAAAGCAATGTCCAAGAGCACTCACCAAATGGTGATGTCTGAGTTTGGATATCATCTCTACATGAGGCATGAAATATTGAGTGTTTTGATTTCTTTTCAATTTAAGGCACCTAATCGCAACATGGGACCCATCCCTCAATCGACCTTTGTACATCTGAAGTTCAATCAGAGGCAAACGCATCAGCGCTAATAAAAGAGAAAAAATATAAAGAAAGAGCCGGAACTGTAAATGTCACGATTTCACGCGCATTACCGAATAGTAAGTTCCATGCACTAGAATTATTGGTGAGGGAGAAAGTTGAATCGGTTAAAAGAATACAATTGGTGAATAAGAAGAACAACATGTGTTTCTGTTGTTATTTTTATTGTGCTATGTCGAGATAGTTTGAGTTCATTTTAGGAACTTTTCGTTCCATGAAGTCGAACATCGCTTGTTTTGAGATGTAATTTTCGTATTTTGGCCATCTTTTGTCTATTTTTATTTTATTTCTTCGTAAAATGCAGTTTGGATAATTATGAACCTAGACAAACCCAAGCATATTTTACGAGTCATCAAGCTAAAATGTCAAGAGCATAAGCCAAGTAGTCACCAATTGTCCTCATATATACGAGAGTTATCAAGATCGAATCTCTTTGCTAGTTGATAGGATTGTTCATATGGTTGTGTAGTCACTTGATTCACATGACTTCATTTGCTTGATGATATTTATAAAGAAGCTATAGTCGTTCTATTTCTCTACATTTTTTTTTCTTGTGGTTGATTTATTCCGGTGCTTTTTTATTAATCGTTTTTATTCTCGATTATTGTGATTAGAGTATTCAAGACTTATTTTCTCTTTTTGTGTTTAATCAACATCGATTCTCGATCCAGAAAAAACCTCAATGAGACAAACGACACGAGCTAGGCACTCGCCAATACACAACATCAAGAAATCAAAACAAAAGGCAGAAATCAACATCTGAAAACATTAAACGCACATCAGATTAGATGACAACACAACTTTTTACTTAGTGGCTCGATATATAGTTAAAGTATGAAGAACAGATGTATAAGTACCTGACCATTAGAACCTTCTCCCATGGAAGCAGATGTGTTAAAATTATTAGTTGCCTCCTTAAGCTCTTCAACTGAAAACGTCCTATAAGCTGGAAGCCCCAGTGCTCCTAGCTTCATTGCTCGACTTATATATCCTATGAACATCACCAATTATATCAAAGGAAAAAAATAAAAATAAAAAAAAACGAGCTGCAACAATTAGAAACTCACTTGCATCCTTAAGAATCTTCGAAGTGTAGCTTGTGGCTGCATTTTCAGCTGTAGATCTTGTCATGCCCTTTTTTCGTGATTCCCTCTTTGCAAGAAACTTCTTAACTACCAAAAAACTTACACAAACTAAAACCGCGCCCGAAAAAACTCCTCCACATATGCTCAAACCAAGAATCACTTTCTTTGCTCGTTTTTTCTTACGCAAATGGGGCAATATCCCAACAGCTAGAGCCGCATTCTTGCAAAACGAAACCGGCTGTTGATTTATATCTCCATTTTGCAAGCAATTCTCACCATAAGTCACTATTCTATTTTCCGAGCCAGACAACAAACAAGTTGGCAGTTTACCCGTCAACAGATTATCAGTGAAGTTGACAAAATAAAGCCCCTCATTGCAGGCCACATTTTCAGACAGCATGCCCGTGAGTTTATTTCCCGAGATATCAAGATAAGCAATCGACGGAAGAGATAAAATAGGCACAGGAAAGGGCCCCACAAATCTGTTGGACGAAATATCTAAAGTTTTTAGCTGATAAAACGACTCGACTTTCTCGGGAATACTAAACGTGAATTTGTTGTTTTTAAGCACAATTGCCTCGATTTTATCGCCAACCGAAGGAAAACGAGGCCCGAGAGAATTATTCGCCAAGTCGAGCGTTTGAAGGTTAGTTAAGCCACTAAAATCAGGCACTTCACTGGAGAAGTTGTTATTAGACAGCACAAGGACTCTGAGGTTTTCCAAATCCTCGAGCGATTTCGGCAAGTTTCCGTATAAAGAATTGCCTTTTACGTTCAAGACAGCTAATGCTGAAAGTGAACCGAGTTTGTCAGGAAGCACACCGGTGAAATTATTAGCTTCGAGTATAAGAGTTTGAAGGTGTTGTAGTGAAGATATAGACTGAGGTATTTGGCCTTGGAAAAAATTTGAAGTAAGATTAACTATTTCGAGGGATGATAAACGCACGAATTCGGTAGGCAAAGGTCCCCATAAGCCGAGTGATACTAATGTGAGGACTTTTAAGCTGGGAAGTTTTGAGAGCGTGGTGAAAAAGGAATCAGTCGAGAAATTATTGGACAGTCGAGGAGTTTCGAGATTTCCGACTAAGTGCAGCTGAGTTATTCTTTCTTCATAGCAGACAAGAGTTAGATTTTCAGAAGGCTCGGCATTGCAAAAATTAGTGTTTTTATTCCATGTTTTGAGATAAGGTGGAGAGTTTAGGAGGGATTTGATTTGCAAAAGAACTTGTACTTGGGATGATTGTAGATGCTCTGCATTAGAAAGGGAAAGGAATATGATGAATGGAAATAATAGCATTGCTCTATGGACTACTTGTTTTCCCATATTAAGAAAATAATCTGGCTAAGGAAAAAAAGAGCGATAGAGAAAAGAATCAGAAAATCAGAGGAGATGAAGCTCAATTCAAAGGTTTTCAGTGATGAAGCTCAGTATAGTCTTTCTCAGAGTGCCTGCATTTATCATCAAAAGGGGAGAAGGAATAAAATTGATATGAACCAAGAAAAAAATAATAAGTATAGCAAAATGAATGTTATACAGTAACATTCAACTTTTATCTATTAGGTTATACAGTAACAGATTTCTTGAAGCTAAATAATTGTTTGGATTCAACATTTTATTCTCCAAAAGCTGCTCAATTTTTGGTGAGCAGATAACTTCAAGAAAATGAAAATTTGTTTGCAATCTGCCAATAATTGATGGTGTGATGTGTACTATGTACCTTTCCATTGCATTATTGAGTGAAGAGCTATATTTTTCTCCATCTGTTACACTCAACACACGCACACACAAAAAAGGAAAATGAACACAAAGAAAAATGAAATATGAAGGTGAATATCTCAATGCATACCTTTACGTGAACCCATCTTGCCTGAACAGAACTGAACAACCTACATTTTTTAAGTGATACTAAGTAACACCAAAATTAAAAATCTGATATTCAGAAAACGCAAAAACTGTTACCCTCAAATGAAGCAACCAGCCACAAAAGTTCAATCAACTTCAACTTCCTTTACTGCTGAATTTCACCAACAGGGCAGAACACTTACCTTCAAATTAAGCAAACACAAACTTCCAAACATGACCTAACTGAAGAGTCCCAAAAGAAAATGCCATTTTTCCCACTGTAAAGAGATCGATTAAAAAAAAAAAAACAATTTGGGTTTGTGAAGAAGACCTAGAAATCTTTTTCTGAAATTCAGTGGCAAGAAGGATAGAATAATAGTGGAGACAGTTAAACAAAATTGGTAGCAGTAGCACTAGAAAAGAGAGCAAAACAATGACACCATGCTCAGAAAAAGACAAGTGTAGAACTGACAACAAGGTTTGCATGAAGTAATACACTTTATTGACAGCTATTAATATATATGACTTCATAACAGAGACAATTTTCTTTTAACTTACATTTCCTCTTTTTTTTTTTCACTCATCTCACTTTAAACTTTATCTGAAATTATTCAGGTGATTATATTAGTGCTTTTGAAGCTTTAATGGAGTACACGAGTTGGGCTGGAACACATAGAAAGGAAAAGCGAAGCCAACCAAAGAGAGCCCTTTATTCTACCTCGAGCATTCTTTATCTGCTACACTAATCTATGTCCTTCTTTTTCCTCAAATCATTTTTTTTCTTCAAGATATGAAAAATTATTTTTTTTCTTCAAGATATGGGGTTTAATTTTTCCCGTGAAATTGATTTTAATCTTGTCGTGAGCAGTGAGCTATCGCTTTTCGAGTCTCGTCAGCTATTTGGCCTTTTGTGGACGTTTTTAGCTCTCAATCTCTCTCCTTCGATTTCTGTTTTTTTGCAGCGCCAACTGCTGCCTAATTATTCAGAACTCGACTATTGATAATAACATGTTACGATGCAATCAGCGGCGGATGCAAGATTATTTTTCAGCCAGGGCAAATTTAATAGAAAATAAAGATCACTTACATTAGATTTAGGATTATTTACCGAGTTATTGAAAGATTTTTAAATACTTTAAAGAGAAAAAGAAAAATAAATAGCAAAAATTAACTAAATTTTCAATATAATTTTTAAATTAAAAATTAATCATTAATACAATTTATTTTTATAAAATTTCAACTCCTCACGTATTTATAATTACCATTAATTATTTTAATATTTTCTATCACATTGCAATTGATCATTACTTCTTTTAAAATAATTGAATGCAATTGAATTAAGTCGATATATATCCAGTTAATTACATGCTGCATATCCACAGTCGTTCACTTAAATTACTTAAAAGATTTTCTAGAAGAAAAATTATGAGTGTGATGAGATCTTTCTTTTAATTTTAGAGTTGGAATTCGAGGTGCCATGAAAGAGCTTTTATGCACTTGCAATTTTCTCTTCATTTTTTTTCTTGTATAGAAAATTGTGTGGTTATGAGATCAATTGATCAAAAGTCTAAACTTGATAAGCCCAAAATAATACCCATTAAACACAAGGAGAAAATTACCCCCTATATTACCAAACATTTTTAAATGTACATATTAACGAAACAGAAACCTTATATTCCTATTGATGTTTAATACTACCAAGAAAACGAGATATCAATTATCTATATTCCACATTTCAGATTGTTGCCTTTAGTTTTGACAGCTAATTGATTAATTAATTAATGCGTTAAAAAAGGTAATAAACTTAATATTGGGAAGTGCGATTCCTGCCTGATTTCTTCCTCTATTAAACATGATCCAACTCCCAAAACAAGAAATCTCTTTCTCCTTCACAAGAAACCTTTTGAAAATAAACCTTGAACTTTGCAGGGGGCTGTGAAGATAAATAAAAAAACAAACAAATAAACATGTGTTGTGAAAATTCCACAGAGGCTGTCACAGTAAGTATGAGGGAAAATTCTTGAAATTTGCAGTAGATTCGTTTATCAGCTTCGACGGCGAGTTGAAAATTTCAGTCGATAAACATGTCGTTCGCGAGCTTCAGGGTAATTGATTGTCTCGCATTTTTGCCAAATGGATCTTTCACTTTCCCTTTGCTTATCTATGGTATCTCCTTCTCATCGTTTCATTTTTGGCAGCATACCTTGAATACAATCAATCTTGGCGTGAATCATTGAATTAATGGAAGACTTATTATTTCACCAATTTCACTTTCATTTTTGTTGACTTTGCATTTTCTAGGAATATTGGTGGTGTGATTTCACAATTCTGTGATTAAAAAGTTCCTCTCGCTCAAGCCATTAATGAATTGAAAACACTTAGCCTTACATCTTATTTCTTCTTCGTCTTTCATGTACCCATTTAATTCTAATTGTATTTATAGAAAATATAGTTGACAAATTAAGTTCAGCCTGGGCAATTGCCCAGGCTCGCCCACATCTCCATCCGCCCCTGGATGCAATGGTATTGTATGGTGGAAAATAGTGTGGACGAAAATCCCCTCTATATATAATTTCTATATATGATTTCAGAATGCGCTGAATCAATGTGGCAAATTCTTATGTTTGGAAATTTTATTTAGCAAAAAATTATGCTTTGGAGTTAGACTTGGATATAAATTAATATTTGTATCAATTGTATTTGAATATTATTTTCTATCATAACCAATGAATTGCAAATATATTTTAAAAGTTGATAACTGAGTGGCAAACTCTCATGCTTCGAAATCTTATTTGTCACTTTGGAGTTAGACTTGGATATAAATTAATATTTGTATCAATTGTATTTGAATATCATTTTCTATCATAACCAATTAATTGCAAATATATTTTAAAAGTTGATAACTGATGTACAGGAAGCGTACGAATGAGAAGGATAAACGAGATACTCTCTCGATAAAACTTACAATCAATTCAGATTCTTATTCAAATTCAACTGCTGAAAACAATAGATATGTACTCCTTTAAATAAGACTGCTAAATCATATTCCTAACTTGTCCAACAAGATAAAATCTCTTATAATAATATTTAATTACTAACTTACTCTCCAAGATACCTATGCTAATAATAATAATAATAATAATAATAATAATAATAATAATAATAATCTACACTAATAACTTTTGTATTTCTTACCGGTTTTAAATACATAATATATCAAATTAATCATCTTTTGATGAGCTTCGATTTGACATCCATAATTTATATATAAAATAAAGAAATTATATTTATTTTTATAATAATAATAAAATTATTTATTAAAATTAATTAAAAAAATAAAATTATTTATCAATTAATATGCTTATGTTTAATGTAGTTATATGTTATAAGGTAGAAAATTTATTATAATATAAAAATATAAGTCGCACAAGTAACATGTGTCATACTAAAATATATAATATATATCCTTATAAATAAGATTTAAATTTATTTATCAAACTAAATTAAATTATAGCAAATAAAACTATAAATTATATTATAAAGTAATAAAAATTGGTATGTATTCTTTTAAAAATGATATTTATTTCAAATCTAAAATCTAATTGGTATGTTGTCAATGTAATAAAAATAAATAATTATTTATATAAATTCTAAAATTACATAAAAAGTTAAAAAATTGTGAAGCACGACTAATACGACACTTGATTTATTAGACATCTAATTAAGTAAAAAAGTTAATATATTTTGCTTAATTTTAAATAAACATATTATACACTTATGAATATATATATATATATATCACCATATTATTTCTATTTATTTAAGGTATATATTATACTTATATAATAGTAAATAATATCGATATTTTTATATGATATAAGTAAAAAAAATTCAACACGGGTTGACATTTTCTTTAATGTACGGGTGATTAATTATTATGATTAAAAAATGACAATTTAAGTAAAACTCAAAGTAATGTTTTATATAAAATTTAAATTATTTTATATTTTTAAAAAATAAAAAAATTTAATATTTTTTACAAAGCTATCTAATTCAATACCCGCGTAATAAACGGGTATTGTACTAGTTGAATATAATTGGCAACACTCACGGATGAGCAACGATGCGATTCAATGAAACAAAACTGCATAAAAAAACCAAAAAATTAAATATAAAAATTAATAATAATAATAATAATAATAATAATAATAATAATAATAATAATAATAATATTAAATAAATAAATAAATAAATTAAATCGAACTGCACTGAATGTAAGATTTGGCTAGAATTTCGGTTTTGCCACAACTTTTACATACATTTATATTAATCTTGGCGTGGTTCAGTATAAACTGCACCTAGTCGAACAAAATCGTAAATGATAAAAGGATAACAAAATCACACTGCAGTGTAGAAAAAAAACAAATCAAAACTTAACAAAAAAACACATTAAAAAACCGAACCGAACCGCACCAAATTGCACAATTCAACTCAATTTTTGCTAACCCCTACTTTGGGATTTGATAATATAGTAAATAGCAATTCGCCAACTACCCTAATATCAAAGTATAGAAAATTATGTAAATCATCCATGCACTGATGTATTAACAATTGTCTTAAGTATATTTATTTTAAGACATGTGTCAACACAGTACTATTCGTGAATAATTATAGATGGTTGCATAAGACGTGTAATCCAATAGGTCATAACAAAACTATATCTATGTATTATGTTCTAAAATAACTTCTCTTTATTTCTTTTTTTATCTTGCGCTAGTAAAGTATACATATGATGCACGTTATATATGATTCATATTTTGTTAATTGTATTTTTTTATATTATATATGGTTTATTTATTTTTTGTATTCTTATTTTTTATTAATCAAACAAAAGAAGTACATTAAGTAATGATTTGTAGCATGTGTATTGAAAGTTGAAAGTGATGATAAACAAGAGTATATAAAAAAATTATTGTGCATACTTTCAATCTTTAGGTTAAATTTGTTTGTTGAAAAATATTTTATTTTGGGCAAAAGATTGTCAAATATGCTAAGTAAATGATAATTATAATAAGTAACCTTTTTCTTGCATAATATGTCCACTAAGAAAAATTAAGTACAACGTAGTTCAAAATGCAAAAAGTAGGTAAAAACTATCTAATAACTATTGCAAAAAATATACACTAACTCAAGTGATTGAGCAGCGGTGGAGGGTTTCGTGTCCAGCGCCGAGTCTCTTTCATGTCAGATGCTGGGCGGGGGTGACAATCGGCGAGTTAGGGCTAAGGTCGGAATTTCGGGGTCTAGGCCTGATCTTGTTGGGTTGTCGTGGGTGTTGGTGGTGTGGGTCTCCGAGCTCGGGTTTCGTTTGTCTGAGGGATCTGGGACGAAGGGCTCCGCTTCTAGTCACCGTGTCCCTTTCGTTTCTGGTGTTGGACGGGGGTGATCCCCGGCGAGCTTGGACTGAGGACTGAGATTCTGGATCTGGGCTTGATCTTGCTGGTCTGTTGTGGCATGGATCTCCCGGTCTCGGGTATCCATTTGGGTGCGAGTTGGGTTCATTGGTGTTTTGGGCCAATTAGGCGTTTAGTTGGCAGTTTCTGGTTCGAGCTCCTAGGCTGTAGCCCTGTCTGTATGGATGGATGTTCGTTTGCATTGTCGTGGGATGACTTGGTGTGGTTGTCTGCTATGGGAAGGGTGGTGTTGTTGTGGTTTTTTCTTTTGTGTTACAGGTGTGTTGTTTGTGCGTAGGCAGTGTTTTTCCTTCTTTCTCTCCCGAGAATGTGTTTTGTGTATTCTCCTGTTGGGAGCGTTTGTTTGTTCATTCTCTTATTGAGAGTTTTTGTTTGTCTATTCTAGTGTGTGTGTGTTGTAGTAGGTTTGGTTTTAGAGCACTCGGTTGTGGGTGTCTCTCTATTAGA